CCAAAGCACAATGCTCACTGCAACATGCACTGCCTGACTACTGCTTACAGATTTCAGGAAAATAACAAATGCCCCCTAAACAGAACTGATAATTACCTGTCCATCAGAAACACAGCCACCATGCCATCACTTTTCAGCCCCTTTTGTTCTCTCAGTTGTCACCATCATTAAAAACCACACAAATGTTAATTCTGATTTTACTTTTTGCAGCATCCATATTCTTTTCAACAATATTGCTGCTCTGGGAGACTCTAACCCTGCTGGACTGCAACGGGGCCTTTTCACATCTTGCTCCAGTGCTGATTGAGTCCAGGGTTGATCGCTTCTCCTCCCTCTCATTTATTTATTTATTCTTTTATCCATTTATTTTTTTTATTTGAACTATTTTATTTTCTCTCTTTCTTTACTCCCTTTACCTTGTTTTTCTTTTAAAAAATGTATTACCGGACTCCATATAGAGTTGAACATACACATATAACACACCTTTCCACACAAACCAGATGTAAAATTTTCCTACATTCTTCTCTAAATGTCCTGTATCTCTGTTCAGTGTTTTGTCTTATCATGCTATTTTGTTGCAACAAAACAAAACAACAACAACAAAAAAAAAAAAAAAACAAGGACAATGCAACACACTGATCTTTAAAATAGATTTTATTATATTTACCATTTTGTAATTCAACAGTTTACGATACACAGCTGATCGGACTAAGACAGTTCAATGAATTTTGGCCCCAAAGGTTGAAGACCAAGAAGAACAGATGTGGTTAGATAGATAGACAGACAGATATGATAGAAGGTACCAGAAGAACTGTGCTCTCTTAACTTGTTTGTGCTTTTCATTGCCACTTCTGCCATGAAACAATTTACATTAGTACAGCAACAACAGCATTTCATCCACTTTCTTTCAGCCAGACCACTGAAAAAAGACATTATACTTGGATTTTACTTTCAACATGGAAGTGTGATTTATTACTCTAATTACATAGTTCTCTTGTTGCTTATAAAAATGATTTCTTTAAAGTGCTGAAACATGAGATTATGCTTATATGAGCAGTAGTAAGAAAATCAAGAGGTAAAGTTCTGTAATTTACAGAGAACCACAGAAACAAGGTAGAATCAGTTTTGTTTTTAGTACAGTGAAGCAGTTGTGCTCTGAATTTGTGTACAAAAATGGTCCAAACCTTCACATAGTTTATGTTCTTTGACATCAGTGACTTTCTGTGCAGCCACCTCAGTGTACAGTGATAGTAAACAATAGTATATTAGCATTGAAATGAACTATTCTCAGTTGTGTGTTTTACCTTTCCTGGTTGGCCAAATGGATCAGGGCTTATTGTTTTCGGTAGCCAGACAATTGGAGGTTGACCTATAAATCAATTTAAAATTGAAACTGGACCCTTGTTTGATACATATTTGTGATATAAATGTGTCACATGTACACACCAAATAATATTATGTACCAGTATTATGCATCAGAGCCTCACAAGAATGGAAATGTGAGTTAATGAGTCCCGATGCTTGGAGAAGTGTTTCAGTGCTTTAAATTTGCTTTTGTTTGTTTTCTTTAGGTTGAGGACAACATAATATTAAAGGGTAACAGTGATGTCTGACTGCTGGCACTGCACTGTGTAAAATATAATATTAAGTACATGTAAAACTGTTTTTAAAAAAGCAGCTGAAGCTACACCAGACTTTACAGTAAAAACTAACCATTCATTTGTAGTTCAAGTTTCAATCCAAAGTTTTTTGTTTGGCAATGCTTTTAATATCAGCTGTCTTATCTAAATTTTCTATTAATACAATTTCAAAAACAAACAAAGTAGTGTAATTGAACATAGATAAATGATGATTAATATCTGATGATAAAATATGTCGTTTTCTTTCTTTTCTTTTAGTATAATTTTTTTCTCAAAAGATACTGTATATTATTAGCAGACTAGGACTTGGTTAGTTCTGACAGATTAGAGTTACACTGACATCAACACTGACACTACACCTACTCTACAGGCAGGCTTAGCAGCAAGAGCTAATCCACTACACACAGAGTACACAATACACAACATCCTCTACATAACACTACAATAAAATGGCAAATCAAAAACAAAATGAAACAATACTGACCCTCCCCAAACCCACAAAAACACAACCCCAAAATCAGAAATAAACACACAGTCTGATTATATATTTTTACAATACTGTACAAAGGGAGGAAGGGTTGTGAGGCCACCAGAAATAGAGAGGGCTGGGATATACGTAAAGAGAGAGCATGGTGGCTACACTTCACTTACTACAGCATGACATACGAGACAGGCAATCACAAACAGGAAACTGTCTAAGCTGTAAGAATAAGAATTTCATATTCATCTTTCTCAGCAAATAAAACCTCATTTAGAAAGTGTACCGTTCCTGTGTTCCTTAAGATTTCAAATCAGAAAGAGCAAAGCAATATAACTGAATTTAAATGTGTAAATAGTGGTAATGTATTATTTCAAAGAGCACCTGGTTTAATTTAATAAAAAAATGTAGTATTACGAAATATACTATATGTGGTGTGAAAGGTTGAACCGGAGCTAGAAGATCAGAACTGACCACTAACTACCAACCACAGCTACAGTTCTCCATCTAATGGAAACACCTGTGCTTATAATTATCGACTTATGCTTAACATGTGTTTAACATCAGTGTCTTCATCTTAGCGTTCTCTGTTAAAACTCTCAGCCAGAGGAAGTTCAGTCTACTAGTATGTAGTTCGCATGGACACCTCTGTTGTGCCTTCACTACCCTGAGCATCAGCATCACCCCAACTTGTGGCTTATTGGAGCAACTGTACTATCATGTTAAAAATCACCATCCACTACCCACATGAATAGTGGGTGGAGAATAGTCACGACAGAAAAGAGAGAATGTGCAGATTTAGTCTGAAGTTGTGCGTCAGTATTCCAAACAAACATTGAGTGGACATGCTGTATATAAATGGTTAAAATAATTATTTACTATATGGGGAAATGTGTTACTTGCCAAGAGTAAGATAAGAAGACTGATGCCACCCTCATGTCTGTTAGGTACAAGGCTGCTACTAGTTCACAAAGTAATATAATACTATCTTGTTAGTACACTTCACGCACGCACACAAACACACACACACACACACACACACAAACAAACTGTGTCAAAGACATTTGCTGATTTACTGGCATTTTGTGTCAGACTGTCCCTTTGCTAGAAGCAGCTGCCAAGCAAACAGCAGATCAATAAAACAAGAAGTAACCCATTAGCTGGTGACAGAGCCATGCTAGTTGTTTCCAGTCTTTATGCTAAGCTAACCTGGCCGCTGGCCCCAGCTCTATATTTAGTGTTACAGATACCAGAGTGGTCTCAGTCTAACTCTCAGCAAGAAAGAAAGTACAGTATTGTTCAAAATAATAGCAGTACAATGTGACTAACCAGAATAATCCAGGTTTTTAGTATATTTTTTATTGCTACATGGCAAACAAGTTACCAGTAGGTGCAGTAGATTCTCAGAAAGCAAACAAGACCCAGCATTCATGATATGCACGCTCTTAAGGCTGTGCAATTGGGCAATTAGTTGAAAGGGGTGTGTTAAAAAAATAGCAGTGTGGCATTCAATCAGTGAGGTCATCAATTTTGTGAAATAACAGGTGTGAATCAGGTGGCCCCTATTTAAGGATGAAGCCAGCACTTGTTGAACATGCATTTGAAAGCCTGAGGAAAATGGGTCGTTCAAGACATTGTTCAGAAGAACAGCGTACTTTGATTAAAAAGTTGATTGGAGAGGGGAAAACCTATAAAGAGGTGCAAAAAATTATAGGCTGTTCAGCTAAAATGATCTCCAATGCCTTAAAATGGAGAGCAAAACCAGAGAGACGTGGAAGAAAACGGAAGACAACCATCAAAATGGATCGAAGAATAACCAGAATGGCAAAGGCCCAGCCAATGATCAGCTCCAGGATGATCAAAGACAGTCTGGAGTTACCTGTAAGTACTGTGACAGTTAGAAGACGTCTGTGTGAAGCTAATCTATTTTCAAGAATCCCCCGCAAAGTCCCTCTGTTAAAAAAAAGGCACGTGCAGAAGAGGTTACAATTTGCCAAAGAACACATCAACTGGCCTAAAGAGAAATGGAGGAACATTTTGTGGACTGATGAGAGTAAAATTGTTCTTTTTGGGTCCAAGGGCCACAGACAGTTTGTGAGATGACCCCCAAACTCTGAATTCAAGCCACAGTACACAGTGAAGACAGTGAAGCATGGTGGTGCAAGCATCATGATATGGGCATGTTTCTCCTACTATGGTGTTGGGCCTATTTATCGCATACCAGGGATCATGGATCAGTTTGCATATGTCAAAATACTTGAAGAGGTCATGTTGCCTTATGCTGAAGAGGACATGCCCTTGAAATGGTTGTTTCAACAAGACAATGACCCCAAACACACTAGTAAACGAGCAAAGTCTTGGTTCCAAACCAACAAAATTAATGTTATGGAGTGGCCAGCCCAATCCCCGGACCTTAATCCAATCGAGAACTTGTGGGGTGATATCAAAAATGCTGTTTCTGAAGCAAAACCAAGACATGTAAATGAATTGTGGAATGTTGTTAAAGAATCATGGAGTGTAATAACAGCTGAAAGGTGCCACAAGTTGGTTGACTCCATGCCACACAGATGTGAAGCAGTTATAAAAAACTGTGGTCATACAACTAAATATTAGTTTAGTGATTCACAGGATTGCTAAATCCTAGAAACAAAAACGTTTGTACAAAATAGTTTTGTGTTTGTACAGTCAACGGCAGACACTGCTATTTTTTTGAACACACCCCTTTCAACTAATTGCCCAATTGCACAGCCTTAAGAGCGTGCATATCATGAATGCTGGGTCTTGTTTGCTTTCTGAGAATCTACTGCACCTACTGGTAACTTGTTTGCCATGTAGCAATAAAAAATATACTAAAAACCTGGATTATTCTGGTTAGTCACATTGTACTGCTATTATTTTGAACAATACTGTAAGTAAGCATATTTTCCAAATTGTTCCTATTCCTTGATGTCTCTCTACATATGTGATGCACACAATACAAAACAGTTTTGTGAATGTTCACTGCACATATTTGTGTCATAGTCCTCTGGATATCCAAACTCATTTGACAGCTCACAAACTGTGAAAAGCACAGACTATGATGTGAAGAAACAAAGCCAGACTCAAACATGTTACTGCCACCTGAGCAGGCATCCAACAAAACATTTTATGTAAATACTAGTGTCCCAGTTTGATTTTTAGATGCATTTGTTCTGTCATCCCACCACCTTCTCTATCCCATCACTCCCCTCCAACAAAACAACAAATTAAGTCACAGGTGAGGAATGGTAAACATGGTTAATTGTGATTCTGTATTTTTAATTTTTTTTGTATAAAATAAACATGTGCTGTTTTTATAATTATTTACTAAGTTACTTTACAATAATGAGAGGTAAAAAGGAGAATTCTACTAAGACAACAATACTATACAACTACATTTAAAACTACAGTATTCATTACATATTTTTCTTCTGTATTCTTCTAAAAACTAGCTGCATTATCTCTCTGTCTCTCCGTCTCCAACAGCACAGCTTGGCGCAGAGCTTTAAAACAAGTGTTTGTAAATACATTAAAGGTTCCACTGACAGTAAGAAACTAACACCAGATCAGTCTCTAAGAAATATATGTTACCAAAAACACATGCAGGTAGCTTAGGTAATGTTTTTGGTAACATGCCTGAATGTGGCAGATTTGCTACAACCCACGGGAGACACAGACTATGACCACAGCCTGCATCGTCCTTCACTGACCACACCCCAAGATGCATTTCATTCATAAAGAATGCCTGGAAGACTTAAGAAGAGATGGCACACTGTATTTAGAGTTGCATCCACCTCTTGTGTGTGTATGTGTAGATGCTTTTCAACAGCGAGGTGGTTTATGTTCCTAGAGTCTTAACAGGCCACCTTAGCCGAGACATTAAGGTTTCCATAGGTGAGAAGCAACAACAAACCACAATGTTTAACTTCACTTGGACCCTGAGAAATGGGCACTGGGATCTCTTCTGTCAAAAAATAAAATAAAAACGAAATTACAGTACGGTTAAAGTTCGCTGATATTTTTCTGCTGAGTTTTCAAGCAGCTTTAGTGGAAAAAGTTAGAAATGTCCGCAGAACATCAGTTCTAAGTGTCAGTTGCCATCTCGGCTGTTTGTTAAGTATGTGTGCTCTACAGAACTTTTTAAAGAAGAAGGAGCATCAAAAACAACAGGCTTAGTCTTACGTTAAGATCAGTTATGGTTGAGGTCACTGTGTGCTGTACATGCACAATAGCGTGAGTGTATGAGTGTGACGAGTGTGTGTGCCTCTTTCTCTGGTCATGGAATTTTGTCTATTTCCATCTTTCAGCATCATCACACCATGTAAACGGCCAGTCCAGGCACCGTCCACCCTCCTCCTCTACATTACAGCACCACAATGAGTCTCCAGCTGTCACATCACTGCTGCTAGAAAGTCGCTAATCTCAAGCAGACCCCGCTCACAGAACAAAGGAGAACAGTGTGTCTCTATGTGTCTGCATGCATGAAACAAGCACATGTGGCTTCACAGTCTGTTGCACCTCTCACTGCATATAAGGATGGCATATTTTACAAAAAATGAAAGGAAAAAACAAACTGCATTATTAAATTATGTGGAACAAATTAACAACACACACACACACACACACACACACTAACATACACAAAAATCTTTTGGATAATGACCCAATTTTTTCTTCCTTTCATTTCTTTTTTCTTCATTTAGCTAGAGACAAAACACAGATAGACAGAAGAGGTTAGGATAGATATAATAAGCCCTTACAATATGTAAAGGTCTCCAGCGAATGGGATCTCCCCCACAGACAACTGTGGGAAAGTGGGGTGAGGACATAGGAGAAGCAAGGAAAATAGAGGAAGATAAGGAGGAAATGGTGGGTGGTGAGGCCCGGTAGCACTGACAGAGCAGGGTGCCGTCTATGCACTGGGGTTAGGGTTGTTGTGTGTGTTGGTGGAGCCGTTGCTTCCCTGGATGGTGAGGCTAATCTCATCCTTCCTTTCCTCCTCTTTCTCCTTCTCCTTCAGCTCCTCCTTCCCCTTGAGGGAACAAGCCTCCACAGTGTCTTCGGAGGCCATGGGGGCATAGCGGCCTGTCCGGTGCTCCGGGAGGGCAGGGCCCCACTTTGGATGCGATTGGCATGCATTCTTCAACCGCTGAGACACACAGGGAAGAGGGACACATCGCTCAGCACAGCCTCAAGTCCAGACAGATGCATGAGATTATCAGATAGATTAATTAAATAAACTCAGGGCTAATTTAGAAGGACAATATGAAAAATACCAGCTTATTTATTTGTGATGTACAATTTGTGGCTACAAATGCCAGTTCCAAAGCCAAAAATGTCATTAGCTGAAGATGCATTCATTAATTGACATTTCAACGGTAAAATGCAAAACACAGTATAACTGTTGCTAAGGCTTACCTGCTGACACTTACAGTAACACACACTCTTCACATACTTTAACTATCTCTGATGCATCAGCTTGAACTGACATTTCAATAGCTTTCACCTCTTACACTGATACTTCAGCCTGTACACATGAACTGACACTTTAACTAGTTTTTACCTTTTTCGTTGTTGCCCTGACATGCAGTGTGAATTGGGGGACTTTATATACACAGGTATATGCCTCTGTAAACTACAGTATGTCCAGTCAATTCAGTTTGCCACAGGTAGACTCCACTCAAGTTTCAGACAGATCTCAAAGAGTTCAAGCAAACAGGATGCACCTGACTGCAATCTAAAGTGCCACAGCAAAGAGTCAAAAGCAAACCACCAAGAGAACATAGAAGTGGCTTCAGGAAAACTCTACGAAAGTCCTGGAGTGGCCAAGCCAGAGTCTGGACCTCAACCCAATAGAACATCTCTGGAGAGCCCTGAACATAGCTGTGCACCACCACTCCCCATCCAACCTGGTTGACCTTGAACAATTCTGCACAGAAAAATGGAAGAAGCTTCCAAAAGAAATGTGCCAAGCTCACAGCTTCATTCCCAAGACTTGACGCTGTCATTGTTGTCTGAGTACAAATGGGACATTTCGATCTTTTACTTTTAATAAATTATCAAAACACTCCAAAAACATATTTACCCTTTCATTGTGGAGTATTGTGTGTAGATTGTTGAGAAAAGTGAACTGAATTCATTTTAAGATGATTCTGAAACAAAACAAAATGTG